ACATTAGGTCCTCATTTTTCCCCTCCCTCCCCGCTCCCCCCGCTGTGGTTCCTTTTTTTAAATAAAAAACCCAGGATGTTCTGTGTGCTGTCGCTCCCTGTGGGGGATGGGGAAGGTGGTGGTAGTAAGCTACCCTATGGCTGAGCAGGAATAGGTTCTGAAATAAGAGTGTGAAAACACTGGTGCTTTAAAAATTGGTTTTGTTTGGTGTGTGTGCGTGTGCGTGTGTGTAAAACCACCACTGTCTGCAGGAAGGAGAAGCCCCAGCACTCTGCCTTTCCCTCTCTGACAGACCCCACTCCTCTGTGGATGACTGTGGGATGAGAGACCCAGCGAGCCACTGGCCACTGTCTGCCCTGGCTCGTTTCTGCTGGTGCTCCGCAGAACAAAATGCCGGTGTGTCTCAGACCTCTCCTGGTCCCCGGAGAGAGCTCATTATACCACATGGGCCCAGAGCCCCTCTGGGGGTTTCCTTTCTGCTCGTTAGCGAGGCTGAGGGGCAGGCCAGCGCTGGTCTGTGGTGCAGTGACAAAGAAACGGAGCAAGTCTGAGCCAAAGCGAAACTCCCAGACAAAGGACTTGAGAGCAGGGTGCTTTCAGCGGTGGCTTTGTCACCAGCCCATTGTGCTTCAAATCTGTCCCTTTCTGTCCTAGTTTGGGGTTGACAGACGTGCTGGAAGGTCTCCCACCCAACTAGAGGCCTGGAAGGTCCCCGTGCTCGGTGACCGGCTGCTTTGTCTATCAGCTAACTGCAGCAGCCAATCAGATGAGAACCGGCACTTCCAGCAGCTCCCGGAGCCTTGGCCCTACTCCAATGACAGCTAAAAATGACAAACACCCTCGTGGCCCCACTTCCCCAAAGCCTGAGAAGGATACTGATTGGATTTCAGCTTTTGTGATACTCACAGAGCGACCCAGAGTCTTTGGGGGAACAATGCAGGCAGCTCAGATGATAGTGCATCGTGACATTACAGAAAGCGAGACGGGAAAGGGAGGAGAAAGCAGTGCTGGTAAGGAGAGACTGTGGCCCCGATTCCTTTCTGGGAGTGTGGGCCCTGATCTCCGGCTGGCGAGCGCATTGATGATGCTTCCATACCACAGAGCTGACCCTTCTCGTCCTCTGAGTCCCTTCCAACTTGGGTGAATTCGAGAGAATAGGTCTGAGCCCTTTACAAAAGGGAATGCTCATTCATTCAACAGACATTTTCCATCTACCTAGTGCCCGGAGCGGGCCTCCAGGCGCCCAAAGAGAAACAGGAAATAGGGTGCCTGCCACTCACGCTTTGGCTGTGAGCCCCCAGTGATAGCAGGGCACAGGGCAACTCTGTTGCATGCTGCCAGCAGTGCATTCTGGCTCATGGGCACCCCAGGTGCGCAGAGCAGGATTGCTCTCTCAGGCTTTTGAGGCCTGAGAGGTGGTCTGCTTGCAGGACCAGGGTGTGGGCCTCGGTTGTCCAAAGGTGAAAGGGGAAGGTGGTGCCAGGGAGGGGAAGGAAATCATCTGGGTCGGGGCGGAGAGCAATGAATTACTGCACCTGGCCATCCGGTCCCTGCCCTCAAGGACCTTGGGGAGGGAAGCCAGGAGACAAAGGTGGAGGAGGGGGTGTGTTGCAAACAGAGCCCTGTTGGGCCTGACGGTTCTGCCTCCGTGGGCTCAGGACGGTGAATGCTGGGTTTGCAGAGTGAGGCCCTGTCCCAAGACGGGAGGAAGGTGAAGTGGTCCAGCCTCAGGCCCTCCGATAAGAATGCCCAGTTTTCTCTCTCAAGCCCCTTCTCCACAGACGGAGAGTCCACCGAGTGACGAGCACACGGGCACACCTCTGCCGCTCTTATTGCTGGGGCCACGGTTCTAAACTACCAACATCGCACAAACTGTCTGAACACACAGAAATCCTCCATTTTTGCACAACACCAATTTGCAATGAACACCCTGGTCTTTGAGACCTAATCACATTGAAAAGTCACATTAAATTTTGTAAAGTGAAAGGGATGAAAACAAATCTTAACTGTTTCTTTAATTCAATACATTCAAAAATACGGTCCTTTCCTTACAAAACCATTTATTTAAAAGATGACCGAGGTCTCTCTCGTTTGGTAGAGAGGCTTCCGCATCCTGGGTGCAGTCACATAGCACATCTCGGTTGGGACCAGCTGCCCTTTCACTGCTCAACAGCCAAATGGGGGCTGGTGGCCACCCACTGGACCAGCAGCCTAGAGTGCAGTTGAGGGGCTGTCTCTCCCAGCACCCCCAAACTGCTCATTAGGAATGCAGGCTCCCAGCCCCACCCCACCCCTACACAATAAGCATTTCAACAAGCTCTTCAGGTGACTGACTCACAGGTATATGACAGTTGGAGAAGCCTGGTACTATCACTTAATTGTCATCAAGGTAATACTGATTCATAAAAAGCAAAACAAAACAAAACAAAACCCAACAACAACCAAAAAAACCCTGACTGCTATTGAGCCAATTCTGACTCACGGCGATCCCATAGGGCAGGTAGAACTGCCCTGTGACTCTTCCCAGGAGTCGAAACGCTATCTTTCTCCCTCCTCAGAGAGGCTGGTGGTTTCAAACTGCTGACCTGCAGTGTGGACTGCAGGTATGTGTAACGCTTCTAAGCAACCCAATTATAAGACAGAGAAGAGAGACTCCTCTTTCTCCCTCGGAGCAGCTGGTGGTTTTGAACTGATGGCTTTGCAGGTAGCAGCCTAACTTGTAACCACTATGCCACCAGAACACAGGAAATAGCAAGTTCTTCTGGCTGTCAGGGCTCAAAAAACTCACTGCCACTCAGTCAGTAGTGATTCATAGCAACCCCCTCTGGGTTTCTGAGACTACCTGTTTATGGGAGTAGAAAGTCCAGTCTCTTTCCCAAGGAGCTGCTGGTGGTTTTGAATTGCCAACCATGCAGATAGCAGCCCAACGTGTAAAACTATACCACCAGGGGGCCTGGCTGTTAGGACGGACACTTTAAAAACTGTCTATTCTTTTGTTCTGATGTCAGAGCTCAGAAGGGCCAATGACCTGTGAGGAGCCGCGTCTGAACAGTGAGTGGTGAAGCCCTGTAGGGTGAGTCGATGGCTGGAACCCATTCGCTGCTCCAGGTGAGAAAGCAGGAGCAGCAGTTTTACGGATCACAGCCTTGAAACTCTATGGGGCAGTTCTAGTCTGTCCTGTATGAGAAAGAATTTGACTCAATGGCCGTGCGTGGGGTGGATTACCTGTGTTCGGATCTCTCCCTCCCCTAGTAAGGAAGTGGAACAGGACAATGACCTCAGAAATTGTTAAGAATCGAAATCTGGAGCTTACACAGTGCTGTTGCTTTAAAAAGACAAAACAGCCCTTGGGTGGCACCAGAAATGAATGATGTGAGAGGGGATGATTTTGAGAAATGCTTAGTAATCATTCATGCTTCCAAAGGGGCTTTTGGGCTCTCCTGCGAAATAAACTGGCCTTTCTCTGTCTTTCACATCTAGCTTATCTTCCTGTCGCAGATGCCGGGAGCTCTTGGAAATGGAGCCACTAGGCTGGAAACACCCATCCTTACCGAGCCTGGGTTCTTACACTGAGGATAAAAGCACTTCTCACCCACCATATGTCTCTGGATTGATGCAAACGGGTAATGTGTTCAGGTGCTAACCCATGGTCAGAGGTTCGGGTCTCCTCTGCAGAGGTACCTTGGAAGGCCTGGCATCTACATGTGAGAAGTCAGCTACTGAAAACCCCGTGGGGCAGTTCTTGGACACAGCGGGCTGCCATGAGCTGGAGTTGATAGGACGAAAGCTGGCCAATGCTTACAGACAGAGCAGGGGGGGACGAGCGGCTAAGAATATTCTGGGTCCACGATACGTTCCCCAGAGAAAAAAGCATCAGTTCACACCTTCCTAACACCCTTCCTTTTTTTTTGGTTTTAAAACAGATAATTTTGAACTCAGCGACTGTACCTGTCCTACTTGTGGACACCACTGAGGTTTTCTTCTATTTATAACATCTACCAGAAGTTCCTAATTTATGGACTGCACTATTAAAACAGAATACAACAGAAGTAGGAGTAATGAGAGTCCATGGTTTCTCCCAAAGGTCTCAAAGTTTAAGTTGCCAAGAAGGCCTGGTGGCATCACAGTTAAGAGCTTGCTCCTCTGGGGGCCGAAAGGTTGAGGTTCAAACCCAGTGGCCACGCTACCAGAAAGATGCTTCCCTAAGAAGACAGCTGTGCGGACTATGGGGTAGGTCTCCTTTGTCCATTAGGATCACTCGGAGTTAGAAATGACTTAATGGCATTGGGTTGGTTTTTTTTTTTTAAGATGGGGGATATTATTTCTGAGAATTATTTGAACAGTTGAAAAGTACAAAACAAAAAATGCCTACATTACCATTAACGATGCATTAAAAGTTCTCAGAGCTCTGTCAAACACATCCCATTTGATGAAAATAAACCAGAGATACATACTTTGTGGATCTATAGCAGGACTTATCTTGGAAGACCATTTTATGTATTCAATTTTTGCAACAAAATCTATCTTCCTACTTCTGGGTTTCTTTACTTTCCATACTATCTCCACATTGGTTCCTTAAGGAATGTCAGTTTATCTTCCTTAGCTTTCTCTTCTGACTCTTCATTTTGTTTGTCCCTGAAAGGCTCACAGTTCATAGAGATGTGAGTCTGTGGTCAGCACCACCTGGATTCCATCTCTCAGCTCCCTGAGCTGCTTCCTGTGTGGCACTGGCAACCTGGCGCAAGAACCAAATTAAACATGGTGCCCCCACGGTCAAACACCAGTACTTCCTGAAGTGGGAGCACTTTCACCCTGTAACAAGCCGCTTAAGATCTGGTTTTCCGGCATAAATGCGATTGCTTTATGAGCTTTGGTTCTGCTGTAGTTTGAGAGTGAAAAGGTATCTCTATCTGAAAGTATGACCTCCCGGTCGCTTTACATGGTTTGGTCCCATTTCAAAGGTACTTGGAAGCTAAGCAAAGACAATGAGGTCTGCTGAGGTCATAATTCTGGTCTATGAAATCTGGTGCTGAGGAGGTAATTATGAAGCCAAAAGTACAGTGAGACTTCTCAGCAAGCTCCAAAAGAAAGGTAAAGTCACCTTTTTCAAACTAAGGCCTGGTTTTAACTTTCATACTTTTAGGTAGTTTCTGAGATGGTAAGAAAAAAAAATCATAAAAGATGGGAATGATGAAACAAATCCTAGTTATATGTATACATTCTCATTTCCTTCCACATTGAATGGATAAGCTATAGATTGGAAGTTTTATAGTCCTTTTTTTTTTTGGCTGTAGAGGATAGGACCCCTGAAAGATAGACTACATGAAAGCCAATGATACAAACTAACATCCTGGCTAATAGACAAGGTCTGCCTCAAGCCAAAGGAGCACAGGTAGAGCTATGTGTTAGGCATGGGGCTGCTAACAGTAAGGTCAGTTCAAACTCACCAGCTACTCCTGAGAAAGACGAGGCTGTCTGCTCCCATCATGATTTAGAGCAGTGGTTCTCAAACTTCCTCATGCCGCGACCCTTTCATACAGTTCTTCATGTTGTGGTGACCCCCAACCATAAAATTATTCTCACTGCTACTTCATCACTGTACTTTTGCTACTGTTATGAATTGGGCGACCGCTCTGAAATGGTCATTCAACCCCCCAAAGGGGTCATCACCCAGAGGTTGAGAACTGCTGATTTATAGTCTTGGAAGCCGTATGAGTCAGGATCAATTTGATGGCAATGGGTGGATTTCAAGCTACTGCTATTACTGAATAGTTTATGCCACATAATGTGTACAATCTCCACCCAAAAACTGCCATTTTGAAGCTTCAAGAAGTATTTTAGCTATCTGATAGGATAATAGTGCAGTAATAAGTTCGTCACCATCATGCCCTCTAATTCTTACCCACTACCGTAAGAGATAAGTTTCATGCAACCTTAAAAAATACTTCACTTTCAGGAGATGATATCAAAGAATTCAAGAAGAAAGAAATATTTTAAAACCGATGGTGGTATTGTAAGAGCTCTGTAAGAGCTCCCATTAAAATTTTTTTTCACTTTGCCAGTGGCTTCATCAGTTACCTAAAATCATTCTGCTCAAAACAAAAAACATTTATGTCTCAAATGGCAAAAAAGCCAGTTTGAATTTACAGCCAAAAGCAAGGATCTGCACAGTTAATAATCATTAGTACTTGGTTTGGGCGTGAATATTTTTCTTGTAAGGAAACAGACCCCTGGAGAAACAGTACTTCTTTTTGCCCAGAGCCATATTGGGAATTCACACTTCTCTGGAATAATTCTGAGAGTGCAAAAATCCTACAGTGTCTCCAAATAGATTTCTGTAGCCAGATGAAATGAATGGTGGAAAACAGCTGCTTCTAGTGGCCTTCAAATCTGGTCATGGTTTTCAGTACAGGGTGCTTAAAAAATGATTTCCATTTAGTTAGGTAATGCATGACCACGATTGACTGGTGGATGAACAGTGTGGGGTTCAATTTAATTCAGCTTGAGATTTATCTTGATGGGGGTTTTGGATACAGTTTGCATTGTGACTTAAAAATAAGTGTTAGGTATTAGGCGGCTCAGATGAAGAATGCCTCTTGCCAGACTCACATGTCCTGGTAAGGACAAAAACAGCACCTGCGTCCACAGTGCTATCTGCAGCACACCGGGTGACACCTACAGGAAAATTGAAGAGCTGCATGTGTCATTTAAAGGTTTATGAGTTTGAAGAATGTGGACCCTTATGATGTAGATTCTTAGGATGGGCTGTAGGCTTGCAGGGGAAAAGTGGGGCATTTCCTATGCGCCAGACTTAAAAATAGTACTGCTGCCTGTAACCCTTTGCCCTGCTATTGCTTCTGACTCCTGGCCGACCCTGTGTGTTACAGAGTAGAACTGCTCCCTCCGCTTCTTGTGCCTGTAATCTTTATAAAAGTAGGTCGCCTGGCTTTTCTTTCGCAGCGCCTCTGGATGGGTTTGACTTGTCAACCAACAGATTAGTAGATGGTGTGAAACTGCTGCGCCACTCGGAGGCCTTGCTACCTGTAACCAGCGCCATAAAAACGCTGAATTAGTACCGGTAAATGGGAGCTGCTAAATTACATCTCAGGCCTCCCCGAAACCTTTCTCCACGGCGGGAACCTGTCCTTTTCCTGAGTCCTTTAAAAGCCCCATGGCCGAAGCCCCAGCAGCCAAATGGAAGTCACTGAGTCGAGTCGACTTAGGATAGGAGTTGGGCAGTTCGAGACCACCAGCCTCTCCGCGGGAGAAAGACGAGGCCTTTTACCCCGGTAGATTTAGTCTCAGAACTCACAGGGGCAGTATATAGGTCCTGTATATAGGTCGCTATGAGAAGAGTAAGGCAAGTCCACTGAAAACAGCTCTAGCTCTCGGATGGCTTCCCCTAGCCGCCAGAGAGGCCTTAGGTAAAAGGTTTGCGCGACTCAGGGTCAGAAACCGGTCCCTAATCCTCTCTGCAACAGCACTGGACAATTGTGAGCCACCATATGGCTTCCTAGACTTCTCCGCGAACGCTTACCTGGTTTCAGGACCAGTCTCCCGCCCCCAAGGTTCTAGGAAAAATAGAATCCTTGTAGCTGAGGGAGCGCGCCTGCAATGTGTGCGCACGCGCGATAGTCTCCTCGCCGTTTCCCTGACCGGCTGTAGCCTCATTTTTACAAACTGCGCGTGCGGAAAATCTGAAGCTTCTCTTCCGTGTGGTATGCCCCCTAGCGGCAGGCGTGCCAGAGAGAGCCAGTCAGAAGCGAAGAATTGGAAGTAGCCACGCCCCTTCCCCTTCCCCGGAGTCGGACTGCGGGAAAGGATGGTGGGCGGGCAAGAAGGCGGACGCACGTGTCGCCTTACGAATGACTCCGCCCTCTTTCTGAGCAGCCAATCACAGGCAGGGCGCCGGGCGCGCGCACGCTCCTTCGAGTTTAACGGTCGCGAGAGGCTGCTCGCCTGACCCGGACAGCAGCAGTGAAAGCGGCGGCCAGGTAAGCGGTCGCTGGACTGTGTGGTGCTGCCTGACGCGAGAAGCGGGCACGAGGCTTGCAAGATGCTATCTTATTCTTGGCAGACCCCTGAGTGTGCGGCTGGGGGAGGGGGACGGGAAGACACGGCCCCTCACCCCCGACCCCCTCGGGAGCCTGCTGGCGTGTGGGGGCTCTGCTGGCTGCGGGGAGCCTTTCTAGGCTTGGTGTCCTTGACTGACACCCGCACCGGCCAATGGCAGAGCGCCTCTTTGCGAGAGGCGGGAGCTTGTGGGTGGCCTTTTTCTGGGACCTGGAGCGACAGTTCGCTTCCGACTCTGTCACGGTTTGGGCTGTCTGAATGGGGTCGTTACTTCAGGCTTCCCCGCTGCCCATGGCTTGGGTGGCGGCGTGGGTCCCGCCCGAGTCGGATGAGGTCCGATTGTGAGCATCGGCACGTCGGCGTCCCGCCTGAGGACCTCTGAGTGTGCCCTCCTTCCCCTCCCTCAGATCCCAGTGATATTGGGGGACCCCCATCAGTCGTTCCCTTCGCCCAATTCTTATTTTTGGCTAGGGGCTGCAAGGCCAGAGTTAATCGCCGGTAAATATGCAAACATTTCTGTTGCCCTGTTCATCACCAATATCCTTATTTTTTCATTTGCGAAGAGAGTCATGAGTTAGTCACTGGAAGATACCCAAACGTCACTGTTCCGTGTATTCATCTCCTCTAAGATTCTTTTTTCTTAAAAAAAATTTTTTTTGCAGTGACTATGAGTTAGTTCACTATCTTCCCTCCTCTGCCTCCTCTTTTCTTTTTCTCTTTTTTCTTTTCCTCCCCCACCCTCCTCAGGCTGGAGAAGCATCATTGAATTTCAAGGATCCCTGTTACCTCAGCAGGAAGATGGGTGATCTCCCCTGAGAGCTGGTGCTTCCCTGGGTGAGAGCCAGGAGATTGGGATCCAGATATTTTTGTTGCCCGCTGGAAGGAGCAGCCCCTGGCTTCTCAATGCCCCATTTGTCATTGGTGATGGGCCAAGCCACGGGGGAGCCATCCACTGAGTTAGATCTGGTTACCCGTCACTTTCACTCCTCTCCCTGAAGGAAGTGTCTTTCAATGAACCCCGTGCTTTGTGAAGCTGGAGCCCTTGGAAAAGTGGGAACCTGGAGGGTTGTGAAGAGCAGATCTTTTTCCTCTGTTGCTCTTTCAAAAGGATTTGTTTTGGAATCACCCTAATTTCCTGTTTCTATTCCTGGCTCTTTTTTAAGTACATGGATTTAAGGTAGATGGGAAGTTTGACTTGATACAGTAAGCACACCTAGCTTCAGTAAAATCTGAATTGATCTGGTAAAGAATTTGTTTTTAGGAAGACATACATGCAAACAGAACAAAGGAATCTATATGTATACACATACACACACAGTGCAAAATAGGGGTTCCACCCCTGCCAGTGGGGAGGCAACTATTGCTAACACTTTAATTCTCTTGTTTTTCATACCAAATTAAAGACTGAGTAGTTACCATACATTGGTTCGCTGTATAAAACTATCAAGCATGTATGTTTGCAGGGATTTGTTTAACAAGCCATGTAAGTATTCCAATTGTTACATAGAATTCTATCTAGAATTTTGATTATTAAATACACAAAGTTCTGAAATACTCCCTGAAAAGGATGATGCTGGTTTTGTAACTCCTTGATGTAGAATTTAAATATTGAAGTGTACTTCACATTATAAAGTTCATTCTTTTAGAATGTACAATTCAATTTGAGTATATTTGCAAAGTTGTAGCGTTATCACTATTGAAAAGTTATCACCTTTTCATCAGACTACAAGGAAACCCTGTATCAGCAATCACTTTCCTTTCAATACCTCCCACTCCCTCACACCCACCAGCACCCCCCCACCCCCTGCAGCTTCTGACAACCACTAATGAATTTCCTGTTTTTATATAGATTTGTCTTTACTGGACTCTTCATGGGAGTAGAATCATACAACACCTGGTCTTTCATGACAGGCTGCTTTCACTTAGCATCATGTTTTCAAGGTTCATCTTGATAACAGCATGCATCGGTACTTTATTCCTTTTCATGACTGAAAAGCATTTCCTCTGATGACTGATCCTGTTGGTTTATCCATTCGTCAGTTGATGAACATTTGGGTTGTTTCCATACTCTATTTTAGTTTGTTTATTTATTTTTCACAACCCTCCCCCCATACTCTATTTTAAATGATGTTGTTTTAATGTTCAGTGGGATAAAAGGAGCCCAGGTTGCCAAACTCTTGAAAAGACAGGTGTGAGGTTAATGGCTATTTATTAGTGACTTAAAAAAAGTTTTTTTTATTAGTGACTTTTATTTATTTATTTTTTTATTAGTGACTTTTTATAGTGTTTTTCTCCATTCCTTTTTCAGACTTGCTCTGAAGCTTGGGATTTCATGTTCTGAATGTTAGTGACTGAAAATGCCTGTAGACGATGAAGCATCTGAAGATGACTCGGATTCCATTACACCAAATGCTGAAAGAACTTATGCTTTCAAATAAAAGAGTCTAACTCTTTCTGCAGACTATGGAAGATTCTGACTTGGTGAAAACCCTGCAAAAGACTTCTCCATCTTCTGTAGACTTTGATGTCCCAAATCCTCCCCATCTCCTTGGATTGGCCCTAAATACAAATCGGTAAAAATGAGCTAGATATATTTTTTATGTAATAACAAAATAAAAGAATCTTATTTATATAGCTTATCCATTCTTTCAAATAGTATTGTAGTTAACTAGTTGGTATTTAAAAAAATGATTTCAGTGATTCTTAATGCCTTGTATGGTAACTGTGTTTTCTAAAATGATAGAAACCATCACAAGTTGAGAGAAGCAGCCCTGGTGGGTTTTTGCCCTTTAAGGCGACCAAACAGGTCTTGGATATTTACTGCGGATTTGTCGGGCACACCTTTTCTCCAGAGAGAAGGCTGAGATTGTCAACTTATTACATCAAGCAAGGGGGGTTCACTGAACACCTGGGTGGCCAAAAAAGAAGCCCTGGAACCGGAAAGGGCTGTTCTTAAGGCAAAAGAATCCTCTGGGATAATTTAGATCTGAGAAACTGGAAGTTTCTTAGAATTGTCTAGCAGAAAATATGTCATGTTGGTGCTTTGTTGTGTTCTCTCACTTCTGGGGAAAGGTCTTCCTGTGGTGTTCTTAAAAAAGAAATAAGTGCTGCCTGTTTGTTTCCTTTTTACCCCCCTGTTATTTTTCTTTGTGGACAAGCCTATGATCAGATTTGCAACAATTGAGGTGCCATTAGGTAGGGTTAAATATCAGTGGTTTTGTAGTACTCTGCTAAATCTTGACCTGCTGAATTATTCAACACTTTGGTAGAATGAAGAAAACCATTTGAATTATTTATGTTTCAACAGAAGTAGTCCCCACCTTAGTACAAATGGGGTATCCTCTTTCTCAGGGAAGACCAGACCATCCGTAATTGAAGGTCCAGTTGAAGTCCTATCCTCTTTAATGCAACAGCTACAAAACAGTGGAAAGACTGATTCGGCACTTTGGAAAAACTGTGAGGTATCTAGTTTTGTTTTCTATTTGGGATTTTAAAAGAATTATATTGAAAAGTACCTCTCCTAAACCCTAAATTAGTAGACATTTACATTCTAAAGAGCAGTGCACGGGATTGCTAAAGTAAGGTGGCCAGGTGTATTAATGGGTGAGTGATAATCCATGAATGTGAAAATGAAAAGGGGAAGAATGCTTACAGTTGGAGTCTGGCCATACTAATTTGTCTGTATGTTAAATGTGAACTAAAATGTTGTCTTTGTTCATAGAAATGGGAATCTAAAATTATTAAAATTGTTACTAGTTTTAGTACTTTAAGTAACTCACATGAAGTTGTTACCATTTTGAAACTCTTAATAGCTGCTTAGAAATGTTTTGAGTGCTCTAATGATATATTAAGGCTTTTCTAGTACCTTTCCCTGTTAGCACCTTATCTCATTAGCTGTATTACATTGATTTTTTTTCAGATGAGTGATTTTTTTTCTAGTCTATAGGCTAAATTGTATAAAATTTTAACAGTAAAGACTTTATATACAAATTCTGTTTCATAGAATACCAAAAATAAACTTTCCGAAGACTAGTAAATATTATTAAACTTGTTATAAAGAGAGCAGTAGATTTGGCTTTAAATGTGTTAATCTTACTATTAATTTGTTTTGCTTGTCCTCCCACCCTTGAATAATGAATGATTAGAATGAAAGATTACCTGGTTTAAAAATTCAACAACTTATATTTACCAACCACAATTATTGAAGTTATAAAAATGACTTACTGTAAACACAGAAAAAATGTTTTACGTTTTTATACTTTGTATTTTGTTGTCCATAATTAGTGTAGCTAATACAAACCTATAAATTGTTATTTTGAAATTATTTAATTAAAATGGAATATTTCATTAAAATTTCTTTCTAATATATCTATTCATTGACTGCAATAATACATGGTACAAGCAAACGTGAGACATTGCCACACTGTCATCTAGTGTCTGACAAATTCATGTTTAAAAGAAATTACTACTTTTTATACCTTGATGTCAGTGTTTTAGAATCAATACATTGTGAATTTAAGATAGAGATATAATAAGCCAGTGCATAACTAGATTTGAACAGTATAACATTTGAACTTATTTTTAAAATTTTCTCTACTTGTGTTATGATAGATCATTACCATTTTTTCCCCACAAATAACTTGCCCACATAAATGATACATATAATGTGCAACACATAATGTACATAGTGTGCACAGGAAACTAATGTGAGAGAATTGTGAGACTTAGAAAAAGATTGTATAACATGCATGTTTTATGTCAAAATATAGTATATTTAGTAAAATGATTTAATTTTGGTAATGTAGATAGTTGATTATTCAGGGCAGAATTGCTTGTAATAGTTCTTGCTTTGACAGGATATAAAATATCTGGCCAATTCAGTAAACTTCTTGATTTTATTGATCATGTTTTTAATTGCAATGTGAAAACCTGTAGAAAAATCTTTTATTGTTTTTGTGTAGTGTTTTGAAAATAATAAGGGTAGTACAATCTATTCCTGCTTTTTACCTCAGTGTTGTTTTTCCACCATCCTTTTGGAATAATAGCATGTTCTAATTTCTACAATTTTTAATCACCTAGTAAGGAATCCTCTAGGAACCCTGGTGGTGGTGTGGGTATGCGTTAGGCAAGGTCAGTAGTTCAAAACTACAAGTTGCTACTCGGAAGAAAGGTGGCACTTTCTACTCCTGTAAAAATGTACAGTCTAAGAAATCCACAAGGGCAGGCAGTACTATCCTGTCCTATAGGATTGCTTTGAGTCACAAAGAACTCAATGGCAGTGAGAGTCAGGAGCCCTGGTGACAGAGTGGGTTACGCATTGAGCTGCTATCCATAAGGTTAGCAGTTCAAACCCAACACCTGCTCCACTGGAGAAAAATGAGGTCAGCTCCAACAAAGATTTAAAGTCTCAGAAAATCCAAAAGGTAGTTCTCCCTTGCCCTATAAGTTTAGTGTGAGTCAGAATTGATTCAATGGCAGTGGAGTTGTTTTGTTTTGGAGCATGCATTATACCTGGTGGTACTGTGGTAAAAGGGTTAAGCTTTTGACCAAATAAATGGTCAGTGGTTTGAACCAAACCAACCAGGCACACCACAGAATGATGTGGCGATCTACTTCTCTAAAGATTTACACCCTTGGAAACTCTGTCTGTAGGATCACTGGGGTTTGGCGTTGACTCCAAGGCAATGGGTTTGGCTTTTTGGTTTTAGAATTTGCATGATTAAGGAACCCAGGGGCACAGTGGTGAAGTACTCTGCTAACCAGAGAGTCAGCGGTTCAAACCCCTGAGTCACTCAAGGGATACGATGTGGCAGTCTGCTCCAGTGAATATTATTACAGCCTTGGACTGTTTAGCTCTGGTCCTATAGGGTTGCTGTGAGTTGGTGTCAGTTCTAAGGCCCGGGGTGGGGTGGGGCTTGGGGGGATGAAATCTAAAGACAAACGCAAAACCTTTCACAATTTGAGCAACAAAGAGCTCTGAAGGGATGTGATTTCTTTGGTCCTTTATGAGACTCCTCCTCTGGATTTCTTGTTTATTACTACCTAGACTTTGTGTAGTGGCTACGTTTTGGGCTTGGATCTAAAAGGGTACCAGTGCACAACCACCGGTGGCTCCCAGGGAAAGATGGGGGCTTTCTACTCCTGTAAAAAGCTAGTCTGGGAAACTCACAAGGGCAATTCTGTCTTGTCCGAAAGGGTTTCTATGAGTTGGCATTAACTTGATGGCAGTGAATTTTGAGTGACTTTGACACCTGGCAAGGTTACGTAATTTGATTTAATCTGGTAGGATTCTTTCAACATAATAACAAATACTTTTACACATTCTTAAATACTTGGCTGTTGCTAATATGTCTGTGATTGTAAGAAAGTTAAAATAATTTTTTTGTGGTAAACATTTTAAAAAAAGTCATTTTGGAGTACATATACTTTAGTGACATTAATTATATTTACCATGTTAAGCTGCCATCATCACATTCTAGTCCCCAAGTTTTCTATCACCCTCAATGGAGACTCTGCCCGTAAGCTATATCCTCTCTTCCTTCTAAACTCCCTTCCTCCCCAGCCTTGGGAACCTCTAATAGACTGCAGTCTCTGCATTTGCCTAGCTGTTTCACATAAATGAGATGATATACTATATGTCCTCTGTGTCTGATTTATTTGAAAGAAAAATTTAAAGAACATCATTAATTTATTTGTATAATTCACTTGTTTCATCTAATTACCATGCATCAGAATTCACTCGATGGCAGTAGGTTTTGTTTTATGGTTTAGTTGCTTTAACGTTTTATTTTTTTAGTACTACTCCCTCCACCCACAGTCTTTTTTTTTTTTTTCCCACCCACAGTCTTCCAGTAAATTCTGACTGATAACAACTTTGCATAGGGTTTTCAAGGCTGTAAATTTTTATAAGCTCAGACAGCCCATCTTTTCTTCCTCAGGACCGTCAGTAGGTTTGAACCTCCAACCTTGTGTTAGCAGTCCATTGCTTTCCTGACAATGCCACGAGGGCTCCTTTGCCGATTATAATAGTAATAGCGATGTGATAGTAGTAATTATTCATAACTATGTTTTCCCTTGGAGCAGCTCTGCTCTATAGGGTTGCTATGAGTCAGAATGGATTCATTGGCAGGGGGTGTAGTTTGTGCTTATTTACCGTTTAATAAATGGCTTGTTTGCTAGGCAGTAAACCAAAAGCATACTTCTTGTCAGTGGCACCAAACTGTATTAGGCTCAGTGCCCCATCCTTTCAAAAAGAACAACTTTAGAAACAACATTGTTCTTCATTATCCTGAAATACTCAGATAATATAACCTATGTGCACCTACTTAGGAAAACGTATGCAATGTTCTACATATGTTTTATAACTGTGATATTAAGAGAAATAAAATTTAAAATAACATGTATTTCAGTGTATAAATGCATAGGTACATCTACATGGGCAGGCATAGTGAAGTGGTCTGGCCTGAACCCACACGTAGACTCACCCGACTGGTACAGCTATGTGGGGTGGTGATCCAGCTACTAGAGGCAGTACCGCCATTGATGACACTGTTTTCGGAATAGTGACCCACTTTTTATAAAGTTTTGAAACAAACTAAGGTCTTGGTATAGTTGCACTCCTGGGCAATTTGTGATATGAAACTGAAAGTTACAGGTTTTTCTACTATATAATGGGCATAAGACAATTCTCCATTGTGGTGGACTGTCCTAGGATGGGCATTTCTGGACCCTATCCATTAAATGACAGTGGTGTCCACCTTCCCCAGGTGCAGTTCAACTGAGACCTCTGCTTTATCTGTTGTTAGGTGCCTTCAGGTCAGTTTTGAGCCATAGCAAACCTGTCTGTATACAACACAACAAAACATTGCCTGCTGTCCTCATTATTGCTGTTTGAACCCACTGGTGAACTTACTATATCAGTCTGTCTTATTGAGTGTTCTTTTTTTTTTTTTTTGCTGATCCTTCCAGTATGAGGTCCTTCTACATGGGTCACATGGATGTCCTCCTGATCACATGACCAAAGATGGGAAATAAGCAAATATTACTTGTATCTTATTTAAATGGGGAATTAAGGTTTCCTGGTCGCCAATAATGTGTTATGACCATTTTATGAACTAGGAACGTCAGGCAAGGAAGTCACATTTACTCATTTTAGTTACAGGTTCTTGGTGCAGAGCTCAGGCTTAAGCACAGGACCCAAGAGATTTTTAGTAGGCCAGACTATAGAACTCCTGTTCTGGCTAATTAAAAAATTACCCAGAGCAACTGTGAATGGTTAAGCTTTTTAGATATTCATCAAAATAATATATAACAATATATAATAGGTAGGTAGTATACACCCTTTTAAAGGGCCCTGGTGGTGTAGGGGCTTATGAACTGGGCTGCTCACTTCAAGGCCAGCAATTTGAAGGCACCAACTTCCCCTGGGAAGAAAGATGAGGCGGTCCACTCCAGTAAAGATTTATAGCCTCAGAAACACTATATACGCTTGCTAAGGGTCAGAATTGGCTCGATGGTTATGGATGGCTTGATACACCATCAGTAGTCCCTAATACTTAGATGAATAATTTTATTAATTGCATATGTAATATTTTAAAACAAGTCTGTTTACAGTGAAAGTATTCTAAAATCAGACTAGGGAGTAGGCTTTACTCATTTCTCAAATAAGAAAAGCAAAGATGTGGCTACTGTCACGGGTCTCATAGAGCAAATAGGTACTTTGTGGGGGGCAGGTGATATTTTATCATAGTTGTGATTTGGTTTTATGTGGATAGTAACTTTATCAGAGTAGGATGACTTAGTAAGAAAACTACTTGGTTTTTGCTTTGTGTTTTCATTGGTAGAAGGAACTTGACACTGTAGCTAAGGGTCCCTTGTGGCTCAGTGGGTATAAAGTACTAACTGAAAGAAAGAAAAGCCAGTGGTCCAAACCCACCAGCCACTTCACTGAAGAAAAAGGTGGCAGTTTGCTTCTGATTCACAGCTGTGGCAAACCTGTGAGGCAGTGCTACTCTGTTCTGTACCTCCAGACTCACTGCCATTGAATTGGTTCCGATTCCTAATGACCCTGTAGGACAGGTGAAACGTCCCCTGTGGGTTTCTAAGACTTAACTCTTAAAGAATTAGAAAGCTTCTTTCTCAGGAAAAGCAGCTTGGTGGCTGAGGTAACAGTCCAGCTTGCAACCACTAGGCCACCAGGTGGCTCTAAGTCGGAATCGGCATGATAGCAGTGTTCTATGATAGCTAGGTTGAGAAGGTAAGGAACTGATTTTGCCCTAGCCTACTCTGCCCTGATGTCAGTTGATTTCAAGTTAGGAATTCCAATCCTCAACACCATTATTTCATTTAGAAGGCTTGTTTTTTCAGCCCTGATGTGTCTCCCCCACTCCGTCCCCCTTCAGCTTCATTCTGTTGTATTTCAGATTTTTAAAATTCAAAGCTGGTAAAGGATTTATAGAGCCTGTAGGACTTCCCTTGGGTGTGTCTTAGTCAATAAAACAATGACAAGCACAACCTGTGTACTCATTTAGATTTAGCTTCTGGTGCCTGTTCTCTCCTTGGTTCTGTGTTCTGGGTGCTGGAGGCAGGATAGCAGTTCCAAGTGTGGTGGTGCTATGAAGGAAATAAACAGGTTGAGGAAGAGGGAAGCGCTTAGACTGGTTGGGGAAGGGGCCAGTTAAGCTGGCATTGCAGGATTGGGAGGAAGCTGGTTATGTTAAAAGATGGGGAGAGACTGTTCAGGTCCAGGGTACTGGCAGCACAGAACCTTTGAGGTGGAGCACATTTGTGGCAAGTCCCAGAGATGGGTGGAACAGGGATTAGCCAGAGATAGAGAAGGGACACCGGAGCTTGGGGTGGGTCATGTAGGGCCCTGGAAGCTGGTTTTTCTTGGATTGCCTATTGCATGCAGTCAATCTGTGACTGAGAGTATCCTGGCTATGAGGTTACACGTGGCCATCCTCCTTTGAGGTGCTGTGTAATCACACCTGTCAGCACTTGGACTGCTTTCAGGAGTCTGGGAGAACCAGGACCAGACAGTGGCCTGGGAAGGAATTGAGGGTCAGCCCCTTATGTGTCCATTTCTTTCCGGGCTCTGCAGTGCTTTGAAGCAGTATAATAGCCGATTTTAAAGACGGTTTGTTTGTTTGTTTTAGTTATCGGATGAATGATTGAGAGCTAGAATTTTCATAGTACCAAACTATTTCTTGCTTTAGGATATGGGATTCTTTTTCTGAGAACGTGTCAGTGTTTAAAAAACCTGTAGTGGTTATGAGGAAAGGAAAAAGATGACTGTAAGCCAGCCATTGAGAACAACGTCGGTGATTGTTTACTCAGACAAGATAGCAGGTGATAGGCAGTGAAGATGCTGAGAGAAAATGAGACAGACCAGACCAGACCGTCAGCATCCTGCGTTTCCATGAAAAAGGGGCGTTTCACCCGCATCCTGTGTTTTTGCATTTGGTATATTTTTATGACTTACTCAGCTTCTGGATTTTACATGTTTTTTGTTTATTTGTTTACAAAGGCCCTAACCTACTGGAGCAATGCTTCAGGGGAAGATTATCTTCATTAAGTTCATTTCTAACTGAAATATTTTTTGATATCATAGACCAGGTGGTTACAGCTGTTCAGTTTGGTGGAAAAGCAATGCCAAGAACAGATAGTGGCCCAGCAGGAACACTTCCACAGCCAGATTCAAGTGAGTGCTTTTCTACTTGTTGATGAGTTTTTCATTAAGTTTTTGCCCCATCATTTTTTATTTTGAAGCATTGCAGGAAAACCAGTTTCATTTTGAAACTAAAGGTAAAGTATTACCTGGTGATGAAGTGTGAAGAACATAATTTAATTAATTACCTTTTGGTTTGTTGGGTTTTTAACTAGAATTTGTATTAAATATGTAAAGACTAAGACAGGTAAAATAGAGCTTTTGACATTTCATCTATTTTTATATGTACTATCTAGTGACTTTGCTGATATTCACCTTGGTGGGAAACCTTCACTGCTATCTCTTTCCAAAATTTTCCTTGGAGCTTCACAGAAAGTAAGGCAGCCCCAAGGTTATGATCTGAGGGAAAACTTGACAATTCAGATTTGCAAAGCTGCCTTTACTTTGAAAATTCTTCCTCACTGCTACCTGCACTGGTCTGGTACTGGTTAATGGTTGGACCGTGACCCATAAGGTTAGCAGTTTGAAACAACCAGATGCTCCACAGGAGAAAGAGGAGGCTTTCTCCTCCCATAAAGTTACTGTCTCCCCCCAACTACCAGGACCCCAATTCTGCCTTGCAGACCTAGTTACACCAGATGATGCACAGCGGTACAGATGGGAATTGGAAATGCAGGGAATCTAGGACAGATGAACCACTCAGGACCAGGGGTGACAGTGGCGATACCAGGAGGGAAAGGGGATGTAGAAAGGGGGAATTGATCACAGGGAACTACATATAACCTCCTCTCTGGGGAATGGGCAGCAGAGGGGTGGGTGAAGGGAGATGCCGGGCAGTGTAATATAAGATACAATAATAATTTATAAATGATCAAGGGTGCATGAGGTGCATGGGGGAGAGGGGAGGAGGAAGGGAGGGGGAGGGGAAAAAGGAAAATGAGCTGATTCCGGGAACCCAAGAGGAAAGCGAATTTTGGGAATAATGAGGGCAACAAATGTATAGATGTGCTTTACACAATTGATCTATGTATTGTGATGAATTGTATGAGCCCCAATAAATTGATTAAAAAAAAAAAAAGAGTTACTGTCTTGGAAACCCATAGGAGACCATGTCCTGTAGGGTTGCCATGAGTCAGATAGAATCAGTGGCAATGAGTTTGATTTTTTTCTTCATCACCTGCACTAAGGAAGGTAGTGTAGTATTTATATGTTGGGCTGCCAACTTAAAGGTCAACAGTTCAAATCACCAGCCTTGCCTCAGGAGAAGGATGAACTTTCTATTACACCTATAAAGAGTTAGCGTCTAGGAAGCATACATTGAAAGTTCTACTCTAACCTATAGGGTCACTATATTGTTGATATTGTTGTTAAGTGCTGTTGAGTTGACTCTGACCCATAGCAACCCTATGCACAACAGAACGGAACACTGCATGGTCCTATGCCATCCTCACAATTGTTCCTTTGTTCAAACCCATTGATGCAGCTACTGTGTTAATCCATCTTGTTGAGGGTCTTCTGGTTTTTCACTGCCCCTCCACTTTACCAAATATGATTTCCTTCTCCAGGGACTGGTCAGTCCTGACAATATGTCCCAAGTATGTAATAAGAAGAAGTCCTGCTACCCTATCCTTGCCTCTAAGGAGCACACTGGTCTTGCTCCTTCCAGCACAGATCAGTGGTGTATCCTTTTAGCAGTCCGTGGTAGTTTCAATATTCTCCAGTACCACAATTCAAATGCATAGATTCTTCAGTTCTCCTTATTTATTGCCCAGCATTCACAGGCACATCCGGCACAACTTACCAGTGGTCCTCAAAGTAACACCCTTGCTCTTCAATACTCTAAAGAGATCTTGTGCAGCAGATTTACCTAATGCAATATAGCTTTTGATCTCCTGACAACTGTTCCATGAGCTTTGATTAGGGATCCAAGTAAGATGAAATCCTTGCCAACTTCAACCTTTTCTCCATTGATCATGATGTTACCTTTTGGTCCAATTGTGAGGATTTTGGTCTTCACATTGAGTCATAATCTATACTGAAGGCTGCAGTCCTTGATCTTCATCAGCAAGTGCTTCAAGTCCTCCTCACTTTCAGCAAGCAAGGCTGTGTCATCTGCATATTGCAGGTTGTTAATAAGCCTTCCCCCAATCTGATGCCACATTCTTCTTCATATAATCCAACTTCTCTGATGATTTGCTCAGCAGACAGATTGAACAAATATGGTTAGAGGATACATCTCTGACACACACTTTTCCTGATTTTAAACCATGCAGTATTCCCTTGTTCTGTTTGAACAACTCCCTCTTGATCCATGTACAAGTTCTGAATGAACACAATGAAGTGTTCTGGAATTCCCATTCTTCTCAAAGCTATCCATAGTTTATTATTGTCCACACAGTCAAATGCCTTTGCATAGTCACTGAAACACAAACATCTTTCTTTTATTCTCTGCTTTGAGCCAAGATCCATTTGACATCAGCACTGATATCCCTTGCTCTATGTCCTCTTCTGAATCTGGCCTGAACTTCCGGCAGTTCCTGTCAGTGTACTGCTGCAACCAGTGTTGGATGATCTTATGCAAGATTTTATGTGTGTTCAGTATCAATAATAACATTATATAGTTTGAGCATTTTGTTGGGTCACCTTTCTTTGGAATGGGCATAAATATGTATCTCTTCCAGTCATTTGGCCAAGTACCTGTCTTCCACATTTCCTGGCATAGATAGTGATTGCTTCCAGTGTTTCTTCAGCTTGCTGAAACATTTCATTGAGTATTCCATCACTTCCTGGAGCCTTGTTTTTGGCCAGTGAATTCAGTGCAGTTTGAACGTCTTCCTTCAGCACCGTTGATTCTTATTCGTAGGCTGTCTCCTGAAATGGTGGACTGTCAGTTATTTCTTTTTGTGCAGTGACTCTGTGTATTCTCTCCTCCTCTTCATGCTTCCCACATCGTCCGTATTGTGCATGGAGCATCTTTTAAAAAATGTTAATAGCATCATTCAAGATTGCAGTTTGAGGCTTGAATTCTTTCTTGAGTTCTTCGGTTTCAGATATGCTGAACGTGTTCTCCCTTTTGGTTTTCTAATTCTAGGTCTTTGCACAATTTGTGATAGTGTTTAACTTGTCTTTTCAAACTTCACTTTGAAATTTTCTATTCAGTCCTTGAATTCATGTTTTCTTCCATTTGCTTTAGCTACGCTACGATTAATAGCAAGTTTCAGAGTCTCTTCTGACAGCCACTGTGATATTTTCTTTCTTTCCCGTCTTTGATGAGTTTTTGCTTTCTTCATGAATGTTCTTGATGCCCTCCCATAGCTCATCAGATCTTCTGTCATTAGTGTTCCGTGCATCAAATCTGTTGTTGAGATGTTCTCAGCATGTAGGTGGGATGGACTCAGTGTTGTAGTCCGGCTCTTCTTCCTTTTCTTCAGCTGTGTCCTGGACTCACATACTCACATTTGATGGTCGGTTCCACAGTTGGTCCCTCATCTGGTTTTAGCTACTGATGCTGAGTTGCTGTATCTCGTCTTCCCACAGATGTAATCAGTTTGATTTCTGTGTATTTCATGTGTATAGTTGTTGGTTTTGCACAATTCTGTCATGTAATCTCCAGCTTCATTTCTATCACCAAATCCGTATTTTCCAACTACTGTTCCTACCTTTTGTTTGCAACTTTTGCATCCCAATCACTAATAATTATTAATGCATCTTAATGGCATGTTTCAGTTTCTGACTGAAGTCATTGTTAGAATCCTTTAATTTCGTCATCACTAGCTTTTGTGGTTTGTGCATAAATTTGAATAATAGTTGTATTAATTGGATAAGTCATATGCCACGCCATTCATTGTCAGAGTTGGCGTCTACTGATGGCAGTGTGTTTTTTGTTCTTTATCACCTGAACTTTCTGCACGTGCAGTTTGTAAATCAATGAAAAGGCTTTGACCCTTTTCTTGCCCTAAAGCAAAGGTTCCTAAACTGATTTGGTCTATTCCTCCTTTTAAAAGAAAGAAAGAAAAGAAAAGTGGCTGAAGGGAGACATCAGTCAGTGTAAGACATGAAAAAATAATAATAACTTATAAATTATCAAGGGTTCATGAGGGAGGGAGGATGGTAGTGGGAGGGGAAAAGAGGAGCTGATACAAAGGGCTCAAGTAGAAAGAAAATGTTATGAAAATGATAATGGCAAAAAAAAAAGAAAAGATAATGGCAACATGTGCAAATGTGCTTGACACAATGTATGTATGGATTGTGATAAGAGCTGTATGAGCCCCCGATATAAAATGATAAAAAAAAGTTAGCACCCCCTTGGCAATTAAAACCTTTAATATTATATCCCATAATCTGCGATAAAGTGTAGGTTTCTGTTTTTACAACCCTCCTGCACCATTCCAGCACCCCCTTAGGGAGTGGTATTTCCCCAGTGTGGGAAACACCGCTCTAAATAAGAAGTGCATGTACTTATTTGCGGGGTTTCCTGTACTCCAGGAGCAAGTACTCCTCTTTGCCCACTCTTGACCATCCTTGGTAACCAGGACTAAAACTTTGTCTCAACTCATTTCTCTATTTTAAATCTCTTTTGTAAATGTTGTCATATACTACTTGTCCTTTTGTGTCTGACTTACATCACTTGGCATTGTGCTTTTGAGGCTCCTCCCTGTGGTGGCATGTCTCAGGACTTCGTTTCCTGCGATAGGTGAGGGCAATTTCCACGTGTATATGTGTGTGTAAATGCTGCATCATGGTGCTGGTGTTCATCTGCTGGCGGACCCTGTGGTTGTTTCTACCTCCTGGCTATTATGATTGATGGTGTGCTGTATTTGTTTGTGTTTAAAAGTAACATTTGATCCTGTTTTTAAAACATACTATTTTCATAGCATATATCAAAGTGAGATGTTTATACTCTCTTGCACTCACATTCGTAATACTTTCTTCTCAGCACATACAGGAGGAGATAAAAAACTTAGTGAAGTTACAGACCAGTGACGCTTCCTGGGCTTCCTATCATAGTCCACCAAGTAATCCAGTCTCATCAGAAAGTCAAATGGGTTTTTTTTCTGAAACCAGTGAGAGAAATGAACCTGTTCTCAGTTTTCCCAAGTCAAAAGAAACTGAAATGCAGCAAGATTCGCCCCCGTCACAACCAGACTGCAACATGGACAGCAGTTCAGTGAGCAGCGGCTATGGCACCTTCTGTGTCTCTGAGCTGAACATCTACAAATTGAAAGACCCTAAAGAGTTCATGGAGCCCGGGGAGGTTCCTGCTGGACAGTACGAAGCCCCTGTGGTGCAGACAGAGCCACTCGAGGAGGGCGGGCAAAACCAGAGTTTATATATGCAGACTGCCGGAGAGCTCAAGGCCTCGTTAAAGGAGGTGCTTCCTGTGTTTCCTGGTGAATTTGAACCTAATTTTCTTGGTGAGAATAAGATATCTGAAGTATATAGCAGAAAAACTAATAGGTAAGTGGACTTTCTCCTTTATTAGAAAGGAATTTTACCTGCTTATGATAGTTATTATACTTGGAATCTAGAAAGTAAAGCTCCTTCCAGTGGGGCTACATGATAGTGATATGTACATGGGGCTTAAAAAAATGAATGGAAAAAGGGAATTTTTCAGCAACTGTTTGAAGTCCCCTTGTATTTGAATGCCGATTGGTTTTACAATTAAAATTGAAGCCTTTTATTTACTGATGGTCGATGATGAATTGAAATCAACCACATCAGATAATGTCATTTGACTTCCCTTTTGTTAAAGGCTACTAAACTCTTAAAGTGGGAGACCATGTCAGAAAAAAGACCTTTCATTCACTGTAAATGTACCAGAAGTTAAGTCCAGACTGTAGTCCTAGTGAATATGTGATTATATAATTTTGAAACCAAAAATGATGTACCAGCATATCTGGTTTTGTTTTATTTGATAAGAATTGCTGAGAGTTTTATAAGCTTAACAACATTCAGTTGGACCAAAGGTATATTTTATTAAAGGAAACTGGCTAAATGGTGGTAAAAAGCAAATATTCTTTTAAAATAATGTGGTTTACCCTAATTTCTTAGTTTGATTTGGCTGAAATATGTTACGTATTTCTCTGTAGCAACACGAATCTTGTGTTGCTATAATTATTGGTCTATGTCAATAAATAAGTCTTCACCGTGGCGATTGGCTTAGGGCTAATGCGGTGACTTTATGCTTTTCACTGACTGTACACTGTACTCATTGTTGATCGCTGTTAGTCTTTTTACCTTAGCTTTGGTAATGAGGAGTCCTGGTGGCACTGTTGGGCAAGCACTGTACTGCTAGATGCAAGGTTGGAAGTTCGATCCCACTGGCTGGCTGCTCCATGGGAGAAAGTGGAGTCTGTGTGCTCTTGTAAAGATTTAGTGTCTCAGAAATCCTGTAGACAGTACCTCTGAGTTGGAATCAACTTTCATGGTAATGAGTTTGGTTTGGATTTTGCTAGTAAGAACTCCAAGAGGGAATTTAGGTAACTCAGTGAAAGTCCATCTTTCACTGAGTTCATCCCCACTTTCAGAAAAATAACTCAAAGCCTTTTGCACTGACATGGTTCCACTGATGTTGCCTGTTATTGTGAGGGACATAAAATAATTTTGGTTTTCTTTTTAATAGTAAATTTGTGACATCATGGGCACAAAAGCTGAAGCAAAACCAGCCAAAGAAAGCACACATCGGAGAGGAATGTCCAAGACCTGTGCAAGGAAGTGAGCAAGCCAGGAAGCCATTCTCCGAGAAAGTAGGTGATGGGTCTGCTTCCCTGGCATGCCGGCTGTGCTTGTCAAGTTCACTGCACACCAGGGTCCTTCCAGAGCTCCTGGAGAAACTCCATTCTCTCTTCTTTCCATTTTCCCACAAACATTTGGAAGCCCCCTTGTACCTGTTTGTTAGTCTTTTCTTGTTTTGTTCATTTGTTCCTTTGACAGATACTGATAGGATTGGACATAATGATATGCTACAAGTTTTGATTTTTTAAAAGGACCCCTGGCTAAGTGTCTGCTAATGGAAAGATCAGTGGTTCAAATCCAGTAGCCACTCCGCTGAGACCTGCTTCTGTAAAGATGGTGGTTGTGAGGCACCGTAGAGTAGGCGCTGCCCCATGATGACCCTGTGTACAACAGAGGGAGGCACTGCCAGCTGCTGTGCCATCCTCTCAATTTTTTTGAGCCTCTGACGCAGCCACCGTGTCATTCTGTCTCATTAAGAGGAGTGTTCTTTCTGCTGACTCTCTAGCAAGCATGATGTCCTTTTCTCCTGATCACATGTCTAAAGCACAGGAGACAAAGTCTCCATATCTGGACTCTAAAGAAAATTCTGCTTGTAGAGATTACAGCGAGGGTCCTCAAGCTTTTTAAATAGGGGACCAGTTCACTGTCCCTCAGACCGTTGGAGGGCCGGACTATAGTTTAAAAAAAAACTATGAACAAATTCCTATGCACACTGGATGAGTTGGCTGCTAAGCAGGACAGACAGCGGCGGCAAAAACACCCAGCGGGGGGCGGATAAATGTCCTCGGCGGGCTGCATATGCGCGGGCCGTAGTTTGAGGACCCCTGGATTACAGCCTAGGAAACCTTTTGGGGGCATTTCTACTCCGTCAGATAGGGCCGCTACTGGTTCTTTAGTAGAGCAGAAAGGAAAACTAATGAGGCTTTTAGTACGATAAAAAAAAAAGAACTGTTTTGTAAGTAAAGATTTTACTTCTCTCTGGTACTTCAGGGTTTACATTTAGCCAGGGACTAATTCATTTAACTGTTAAGAATTAAAAAACCACTCCAGTGGTACCTATTACTATTAAGTTATAAGAGCTATTATTTGTTGAATGTTTTAAGTAAAGTGCTTTATTTATTTTTGGCACTTTTCCTACTTCCTCCCCGCTTACTATTTCTATTTGTCTTTTCCCATCCTAGTTACCTTTATTTTTCAAATTGTAAAATTTGGGCAATTCTGAATTTGTGATGTCGATTAAATGGTTAAAGTCTACATAACCCTGTTACTAAATTAGCAGACTTGTTAAAGTGTTGTAGATACTGAGTATATTTTAACTACTTCAGTATGTCATTTAAGACTTTGCTAGTGGACCGGAATTGTTCTCAGATGACACTGTTATGGGTAACACATAAAAATTGCAAAATGGAACTGTTGACCTTGTGATTAGCAGTTAAGTGAATAGCCCACTATGCCACCAGGGCTCCTCTGTAAAGATTACAGCCTTGGAAACCCGATGGAGTACTTAGTTTCCTGTTCATCAGGGTCGCTATGAGTTGGAATCAACTCGATAATGAGTTCATCTCACTATTCTCTGAACTGGTTCCGATTTGTATTGAAGAAGTGAAACAAAGGTGCAAAAACCAACCTAAACCCTGAAGCCTTGTGGCTGAATCTTGTGTTTGCAGCATGTGTGGCATGCTGCCCGAAGGGGGCTTGGAGATGGGTACAAAGTGCTTGTTCCATTGGAATAAATTGATATCCTGGGAGCTTGCCTCCATCCACAGTAATTTCTTTGTTCTGGTTGTTTTTTCCATTGAAGCTTTGTTTTCTGGAAGTTTTTCCTCTTCTGGTAAATGTGGAGTTTGTGGTTATTATACCTCAGTGGGTTTACTGCTTCTCTCACTATTGTATGTGAATGTCATGAAACACAGGTTTCGTCAAGCCCATGGTCCTCTAAGTTCATTGTACACTAGGGTCACCAGAGGCTTCTTAGACACATGCTCATGCCTGGCTGCCCACTCCCTACAGTGTGATGCCTCGGGAAGGGATGTGACCCAGGACTCCTGAACTGGTTCATTCTGCTTCCACCAGCTGCTGAGAATTTGCATTTCTGCCCAGATATACTATATCAGAATCTACATTTCAAGTGAGTTCTATAGATCTCCAG